CTTTCTGAGATAGAGGACTGCCTGGTTTATATAGTGAGTTCCACATCATCCATGAATATATTATGACAACCCACTAAAAAAAATTAAGCTTCGATTTTCAATATAGCCTAAGATGGCTCATAGAAAACATAAATTTAAGAAGAGAAAGATGTAATAAAACATACAATAAGCACATATGCTAATACAAATAATGTATAATTTCAGCAAATAATCTTGAATGGGCTTTGTCACTTTCCTGTGGAAGCAACCCCAGACACCTAGAAATTTCTATAACCCTCAGAGATGCACCATGATGAATGTGTCATGGCTTCTTTTTGCCATTGTGTGATGCATGTTTCTTACACCTACTATCAGTTTTGACCATCTGCTTTGCATCTTCATAATTTTACTGATAATGTTGGTTTGTCACACTAATACATTAACAGTTTATTATAAAGTGTGAAATTTAGTATCTATATATATATATGTCTCAGTGTCTTTAAATTCAAATCTGTCTATACTTGTAAACAGACTGAATTAAAATTCAGTGTTAATGAACTTAAAAGGAGGGTACATTTTCATCACTTCCAGTTGAGACTCATGTGACCTTGGGTGAATTTAGTTTCAAGCCTTTTTTTTAAGTGCATAAAAAGAATTTTTAAGTGAGAAGAAATATAAAATCAAGAAAGTCCCCTTCCTATTAATACCAGCATTGTAATGATATTCATTTAACAACCACTCATATACAAATTAGGTTCAGAAAAAATACAATCATTTAGATACTTAGAGTATTTACAAATAATCTATTAATAATTATATGAGTATAAATTATATTTCTTCCTTGGTTTATAGACAGGTTGGGTACAGAACTATTCAAATAGAATTCTCCATTTTAAATATAAGTAAGGTATTCTAGCAATGTGCCTTCAAACAATAAGTATCAGGGGAAATAGAGCCATTTCAACCAGGATGCTGGGAGGGTATAGAAGCCTAATATCTATTGGTACTGATTAGGATTTAGACATTCCTTAACCACACTAACCACCTCCACTTATGTTTTTGAGTCAGATTATTCTAAATTACCTTGGTGATTAGAAATATTTCTATTTTGTTTTTGTCCAGCTGACTGAGTTATCAGGTAGGCTAACATTCACAGAAATTTGGAGTTCTTGTACAATTCTTCCTTTGAGTACTTATTCATACACTTCACTCACAAGGTAAAATACAAAGCAGTCCAGATAAACTACAAGAACACACTGGCACCAACCATAGAACCCACAGGAGACAACTTGAAAATAGTGAACAATTTCATTCCCTGTGCTTTTATTTTTATAAATTACCCAAATTTGTTCATTACAAAGCAATTCTATAATAATATAACCAAAGTAATCTGCTAGTTAAGTAGTATCTACTGTATCTGAAGTATCATTTCTGCAAATGTAGGTTTAAAAGAATAAGTGTCCCACTTTAAAATCTTCCGATGATGAGTTTGATAGTTTCACTGACTTAGGGATTAGAAATTAATCTTCTAGGATGGACAAAAAGAGTAGAAATATGGCACAGGACTCATGACATTATGCCCTAAAAATAAATACAGAATAGTGATAAAAATGGTTACTGACTGTATTGCATGGTGACAGGCTATAGTTTCAGGCTTAGAAAACATCATGCGAAAACAGAGAACAAATGGCTGATTTATGTGTAAATCCTTATCCCCTTACTAAACAATGCTGGGATTACTTAAAAAGAACCCTAGGTCCTGTAACTAGGCTCTACAAGAGGAAGTGACTGTTGCTTAAGCCTGAGAAACTGAGTTCAATTCCTAGAATCCATGGTGAAGGAAGGAACCAAGTCCCAGAATCATCTGTCCTCTTTTTATATCATGCATGTGCTTACACCAACAATATTACATCCAAATAATAATAATAATAATAATAATAATAATAATAATGATGATGATAATGATAATAATGGTAATATTGATAGTATTCGTACTTTTAGCACTAGTAGTAGTTAGTATCCTAACTGGTTTCCTTGAAGAAACACTAATTTATGAAATAATGAAATCCCTAGACTAGCACTTGCACTGCAGCACACATCAAAAACTGATGGGGGAATGTCTTCCTGGGCATTGTGCAAATGTGTTGCTCTGATTGGTTGATAAATAAAGCTGTTTGGCCTGTGGCAAGGCAGCTTAGAGGCAGGTGGGAAATTCCGAGAGAGAGACAGGAAGAAGGTAGGGAGAGATACCAGCAAGCCTCCCAAGGAGCAATGTGTAATGGGATGCAGATAAAGCTATGGAACATGTGAAGATACATAGATTAATAGTTATCGGCTAATTTAAGTTATAAGAGCTAGCTAGCAAAAGGCTTGAGCCATGACGATGCAGTTATGATTAATATAATCCTCTGTGTGTTTACTTGGGGATACTTGTAAGCGAGATTTGTTCTGACTGCCAGCAGTTGGGGACACAGGAAATCTTCCAACTACAAAAAACTAACCTCACGATTCACCATAATTCAAAAGATATACTGTGATAAATTTTCCTTAATGTCAGTTAATGGGTAGCCTTCCAATACCTTTCCCAAGTGGTATAGACTAAATCTAATCTTACATTATATTAAAAATTTAGTACCTTTCCCTCATTGTCCAATTTTAGAAATAACAGTGTTTGATGCAGCATTTTGCTTGCAGCAGTATTTAAATAAATATTAATCAGGGAGTCTAAATTCTTCTTTTGATATTCAGACATCCAGCTTTCCCAGTTCCATTTATTGAATAGACTGTCTTTTCTCTACTGGGTATTTTTGGCAATCTTGTAAAGAACTAGCTGACTGTTGTTATGTGTACCAATGTTTGGGTCTTTGATTCTGTTCCATTGGTCTTCATGGCTATTTTTGCGCCAGTGCTATGTGGTTCGTGTTACTAGCTCTATAATGCAGTTTAATATCTGCTATGATAATCCACCTAACATTGTTCCTTTTGTGCAATATTACTTTTGCTATTCCTGGGTCTGTTTTAGTTTCATATGCATTTTGTTGGTTTTTATTTTATCTGAAGAATATTGTGGGCTTTTAACTGGGGCTGCATTGGAATCTGTAAATTGATTTTGGCAAGATAATCATTTTAAGTTTATTGATTCAGAAAGATTGAATGTATGTTCTCGTAGATGAATTTCTAAACAGTCTCATTAAATAAGAAGCACAGAGCCAAATATAGAGGTGAAAGCCATAGAGATCAGAGAAAGAATGATAGTCACCAACTAGCCTTAGCTCACCATGCCTCCTTAGCTTCCTAAGAGAACCAGCTTCTTCCTGTCTAACCTGTGGCTTTATTGCTTTGCTGTTCTGCCTTCTCATTGTCTCTTAGCCCATCCACCTCACTTCTTCATCACTGCCTGCCTGCACAGACCTCCAGGTCTCTATGATTGGTACTGGGATTAAACTTGTGTGTCACCATGCTTGGCTGTGTCCTTGAAAGCACAGAGACTCTGCCTGCCATGTGATCAGATGAAGGATGCATGCTACTTCCACCTGACTTCTGTTTATGGATGGTTATCAAAGTCCTCTGATCTCCAGGCAAACTTTATTTATTAACATACAAATAAAATATCACCACAATGTTCATCTTCTCATGTTCACTATCTCAGGTAAAACAGGGGCAGTTTTATAAGACCTGCTCAACACAAGTGAATTAATGGCTGATACTGTAAATGTAGCCAAATATCTAATGCTGGCGAGGACAAGTACCTTAGAGGAAAACCTACTATTGCCATTTTCCTAAACTATTATAGTTTCTAATTGCATTCTAAATACTTACCTTTATATCCACAGAGAAGTGGTAACTATCACCTCTAATTAAAGACATTTCCTTTCAAGTCATATATAGACCATTACAGTAATCTTCATCTGTTGGAAATGCAGAGAACAATGAAATGACTATGCTGTGTGCAACCAAAATTGGTATACCGACAATGCAACCCTAAACTAAAGGCTGGGAAAATATAACGGAAGAGTGGGAGGAAAGGTCATAAAAGCATGATAGTCATGACATCTGCTGGGATGTAGTGTTTTCTATATATGACAGGAAACATGTTCCAGTGAAATATCAACAGGTTGCCTAACAATATCTGTCCAATAATAACATCAGTTGACATGCCAGTGCGGGTATAGTAAATCACTCAAGGCTTCACTAGTAGATGTCAAGTTACATATAATTAATAGCTGTTGATAGATGTAAAATCAGTTTTCTTCCAGGGGTGAGCCACCAGATAAGTATGAGGGCTAGTATCAATTAAAGGGCAAAATATTAAATTGTATAAATTTATTATAAGGTGTTTTAAGGAATGTTAATAACACGTTATTTTAAGACAGGTAAAACTGATGCAGTTGACATGAAATTTCACTTGAAAATAAAACCAATGAATAAGAAAAATTACATGATATCATAAAGATTAATAAAAAAATACTCTCATTGTGTCCTGATAAGGCTGTGTATATAAGTGACTAATTTCAACAAAGGGGGTAAAGTTTTAATATCGAGATTTATTACTGTGGGGAACTTTTTAGATATAAATCTGATGAATCTCAGTTTCATAGAGCCTAAGATCCATTCTATAAAATGACCAATTTATAACATATAATTAGTTTTTAACGGTTATATAATAAGAATGGCATTAATTTCAGGAATGCTATCACTACTCAGTGTTAGTTACATTTACTCCTCAATATTAAGTTAAATGTCTTCAATATAACTCCTCTGATAACTCTGAAATATAACTTGAGGATTATTTGAAATTGGGGATGGAATATTTATTACTATGAAAATCTATTTCTGAAACTTTAGTACTTGTATTCGCAGTGCTTCCAGGAGATGGAAATAATACAAGCAGCGTACCACCAGGGGTGTTTACAGAAATGACCATGCATTAGTTTTTCAAAACCTTTTAAACATCTTTTCTTATGGTTTTTGACAGCTGAGGGCAAACAAGGTTCTTTGTCAATTTATGGCTGAGCCAATACCTGTAAAGATCCTCTGAGATTACAGAGAGCTTCAGCTAATGTCCGTTTCTTTTATGCTACATCTGGGCATTGAAGACTGACGGCTTCCTGGTTAGCTATCTGTCTCCCAGACTCATTTACCTGAAGCGTAAAATGAAGAGTGATGAGCTTTTGGGGTGGACTTAATATTTAGCACATTAAAATCTAATTTATTATAGATTAATGTGACCTTAACAATACCAGGCTTTCCTCATTTCATTTTATTTTTTGAGTAAGAGAAAAAAAAATTCCCAATGGTAAAAGCCCAAGCTAACTTATGATAGGCTATATGTTTGGAAGTTTCATATGTACATATATCACACATACTCTACTGTAATGCTTAGAGATCTTTGTATGATCAGACTTCTAGAGTAGAAAAAAAGTCCAGATTTAACTTGAAGAATGCGTAGTCCTATACTTTACTTACACAAAAGAACAAATAGCATTATTTATTCAATATATATGATCACATTTGGAATACAAGTGTAAGAGTATAAATGTCTTATTTGAACAACACTAAAACTTATGTGAGGTTGTAGATTTATTCTATTCAATTAAAGAAATTTCATTTTCCATGAAATATCATTTTGCAAATTAGATAAGTAACATAATCAGGATTCACATGGATATACAGATTCATACAAATACATATCTTAATGTGAATACACAGATATTCTAGCACCTCCTGTATTAGAAACAATCTAAGCAATTGCCGAATATACCTAGAGACACAATAGCCTTTATCTCATGACAAGTGTATATATGCTCTTGTCTGAAAGGAAATTGGTGCCACGGTAGAAAGCTCAAGATTAATTTTACACAATTTTAATTCTTTATATTTTTATTTTTTGAGTTACAATAACAAAGGTGTAATTTACTATGTGAAAGCCTATTTCTTAATACTTTTATTTAAATGACAATTAAGTACAAAATAAGATCTAGTGCTGCAATAAAGTTGAGTTCAAATCCTCAGAAAAATAAAAACTTGAATCTTCTTTTGTAGAAATTATAAAAACAGTTAAGTGAAAATTTACATCTATATAGAGTACCGAATACATTCTTTAGTGGCAAGTCTGTACTTTCAACGACAGCCTTTATTCTCTATGTTCTTTCAGTTTCTGTGTTATTCTTTGTCTTGTATTGACCTCACTTAGGTTTAAGATGGCAGTTCTTTTGGAAGTTGTGATTTTTAACAGGGGGAAGACAGAGCTGTGTTACTAAGAACAACAACAAAAAAAAAAAACCCAAAACTTATTTACAGGAAAAACGTCATATGATGCAGAATTTAAAAAAGCATGCCCACAGCCAGACTGAACATAAAATAGCAGAGTTCACACCTACGTTTTAATAATGGTACTCAAATGTTAAAAGGTGAGAATACCATCTGTCTGCTGGGGAGTTTGATTAGCCAATAAATTAACACCTGTGTAAGCATGAGAACCTATGTTCAGATCCTCAGAAAGTCACGTAAAAGCCAAATTTTTACAGCAGCATAAATCTGTAATCTTAATTCTATGGAGCTGGAACAGGTAAATTGGAGCTCATAGGCCAAAGAGCCTAGCTAAAGATGTGTGTTCTGGCTTTGGAGACTCTGTCTTAAAAAGTAAGGAAGGGAGTAATTGAGTAAGACACACAGCTGGACCTCTGGCCTCTGTGTGCATATGTATGATTATGAGCACACACATGCAAATATGTACTCATCCATATGAAATCATACATGCACCCACACAAAGAAAGAGAAAAGCTTTCTATTTATTGATGAAATAGTATGGCATTAGCCATTGTTGGATTGGAGTGATGTTTAATTGTTTGATGCCAAATATGGAGAGTTATATTTCTACACTAGAGCTAGGGATAAGGAATGATTCTCAATGTTACTACTGAAAACAGAACACTGTACTTTTATCTGTGACAGGAGCTATATGCCAAATGTCATGCTGGGAAGATTTCTTAAATGAATTAGCATTAGGGATGCATCTAGAAAAGATAAATGAAAAGCATCTGGCAAAAGTACTTCAAGAAGTTAGAAGTGATTATCTCAAACACAAAGACAAGGCTTAGGGAAAATAAAGGTACTAGACATTTCTAATATTTTGTTAATTATCATTCATTCATTCACTAAACAAATATAGATGGTGTACCAGTTGAGTTTACATATGTACTGTTAAAATATTGAGGCTGGAGAGACAGGTGTGGAGTCAAGAGCAACTCTGGCTTATAAAGGATCCACATATGTGAGTGCCCATATAGCAAGTCACAAACAGTTGTACCTCCAGTTCCAAGGGTGATATACCCACTTCTAGTCACTTCAGGCATCATGACCACACAAGGCACACTTACATATATCCAGATAAAATGCTCATGCACATAATATTAAAAAAATAAAAATTAATCAAAATGTACATTCATCAGTTCTGTCTAGATTATATTGGAGCAATAAGAATCAAACTTCCAAACCATTACACTTCTTTTAAACTTACTTTACTAATAAAAGAATATCTCTGCATTACTATTTTCATTTTATGTCTTAGTGTAATGTGGTAATATGAGTTTATGAAAATATATCTTACATTCCGAGAGACTTGAACTTTAATGATCTCAGAGCCAAAGTTAGTAACACAGCTTGAGGTCACTTAGACATAAGACTGATATCTTACTGAGCCCTTAGCTAGTATCTGTAGCCTTCCTTTAAGATTACAACATAACAGCCAACCTCATTTGCCTTGGATTTCCTGTATAACCAACTTTTATAGCCGAAGCTAGTGCAGAGCTATATCTTAAATTATATATATAGCCTTCCATGCTTCTGCCCCATGAGAAATGCATGTGCACATGTATGTTCTAGTAATATGTGTTGAAATTAGAAAATAGAGTGAAGGCAATTTTATAAAAATTAATATTCAATGGAAATGTTGGAAGTAACCTATGGATATTGCTTAATAGCATTTATTTGTGTGTTATATGGTTCAGTTGGATTCAGGCACTTAATTTCTTATAAGTGCTATTGAAGATTTCTGTAAAGTGTTCCTCACTTCTTCCCTCTGAGATGCTTTATGTGCTGTTCAATACAAGAGAGATCAAAGCCCTTTGTTTACGGCACAAAAGGAGAGGCAGAAGGACAGAAAACATAGTTGACGTCAGGCAGGCACCAGCTCAGAGTCATAAAATGGACAGAATGCAGGCAGAAAATGACAGAACACTAAGAAAGAAGTAGAGAATTAAAATCTGGGCTTCATCTTATTCCAAGGGGAAGGGATTTTAATTTCTCCTTTCATATGCATTATTGCTAAATCTTGAGTTTAATGTTAATGCATTCAAACTAACACCAATGAGATAGTTAATTAATACATACTGAGTCCATGAATATGATTCATCAAATACCCTCCAAAATACTCTGTGATATACATAATATAAATGTATTTTTATAATAATAAATGTATTTTTAGGAGAAAAATAAAAGTGTAAGCTCTCTTTGAATAGTTCGGTGATAACAATAAGAAATGATAAAGTATCCAGCCTCCTACCTATGTAATAGTAAAAATAAATTGCCCAGTAAAAATCCTACCAACAATATCAGAAAAGCCGAGGAAGTGGGTGAGAAAGACAAAGACAGACCGACAACCCCCCTCCCACACAAACACACGCACACACACCCTCATACACAAGACATGAAGATGGCGACAGAGATAGAGAGAAAGGTTGAAATTTCACCGAGGAAGAGGAACGTGTGCACATAGGAACGAAAAGTAGTGACAGCACGCATAAGACCGGCCCAAGATCAAGCCAGACTAAATCCCAGACTAGAGACAGACATGAGCACAAAGTCCTATCCACAGACAAGGAGCTATTCACAATTGATATGTGCTGGCAGAGGAAGAATTGGTTTTCCTTGAGGGTTGGACGTGTGAGATCAACCAAGCGCCAGTGTAGGAGCATACATCTAAGAGCACACAGGTAGTACAATCATACTTAACTTAAAAAAAAAAAAAAAAAGAAGTCACAATGTTGGGTGCCTTGAGAGGCAGGAGGATCTCAGGGATATTGGGTTATGGAGGTAAATATGATCAAAATACATTGCACAAAATACTCAAAAAACTAATAAATATTAGAAATAAAATTTTAAATTTAGAACCAGAATCAGGTGCGTGATGGTGGTACACACCTTTAATCCTAGCACTCTGGAGACAAAGGCAAGCAGATCTTTGTGAGTTTGAGGCCAGCCTGGTCTACAGAGCAAGTTCTAGGACAGCCAGGGATACAAGATAAACCGTGCCTAAAAAAATAAAAATAATAAACCAATCCAAACTAAAACAAAACAAAACAAAAATAAATAAAAACAGAATCACTCACAGTGAGACCCATATACTTCCTGCCTACTAAACCTACCAGATATTAAATGAGAAAATTTGAGCATTCTGAAAGAGGCAGGAATGAAACTTGAATATATCCAGTGAGAGTGTCTAGTAAGAACACAGTCCTTTCCTCTTTCTCTTTCTATATAGAATGATGGTTACTCAGTCACATTCCAGACCTTTATCCTAATCCTTTATTCATTCAGTTCAAAGGAAGGTAAGAGTCTATGACCAAAGTCTGACTTGGGAATAAACACAGGCCTGTAGAGGTCAGCTTCCTCTGTGCTCTCTATGAGGTAGCCTGTCTCTGTTCTGTTGAGAAGTCCAAGTTTGGAAGGTTTAATACAACTCTATTGTGAGCATTAGGCAGTCACAGATTGTTCTCATAGCCAATCTCCAAACTTCTGTCAGTAATTAATATAACAGGTTAACATCTGCCTCCATCTCCTTGATCTCTGTAACTGTCTCTGTGCCAGCTTTGTAGGATTACTGATTTTGCTAGCTTGGGTAAGACAAATAACCTTAGCCTCTCTCAATGTGTTCATAGACAAAAAAAATCAATATGTTTTTAGGGTTAAGTTGATGTTATTGATATTTTAAATCTTCATAGTTTATTTTGACACATAGAAAGTGTCACTTGTATGTTATTAAATGAATAAGCCTTGCTTGCTAACTTCTTCAAATCACCAATGTTGGTGGTAGAATGGTATCCATGATTGTTCTTTTAGTATCTTTGTTGAATAACGGTAG